CCATATCTCACTGTGTTTCATAAATCAGAGCTAGATGAGATCTTAGAATACCACTGACTTGATTTTTCGGACTCCAGGACCTCAACAAAAAAAGATGGATATCTACCCTATTTTGCTAAATCCTCCAGGGAATGCATTTCCACAGCCTCTTGCAAGCAGCACAATGAGAATGTTTATGTTCAAAATGCCAAAGGCACATTTCGAAAACTGTTTCAAACAAAGATTTTCTTTGAAAATGCATGTCAAGGGAGAAGGGGCAGGTGGGGAGGGTGGCTGTAGAAACTGATTAACTCTTTTAAGCAAAGGCAAATTTGGGGAGGCATTTAATCTTAGCAAGGAAGTCAAATCACAGCTCTGCTACTGACTAGCTCTGTACCTATACATCAGGCAAACTGTACAAATACCTCTAAGCTTCAGTTTCATCATCTAAAAAATGGAAATAAAAACAGTGCCTGCTTCATAGCATTTGGGCGATTAAATGAGATACTGCATGTACAAGTATGCTCCACAACTCCTGAAGTACATAAAACACACAATAAATGCTGACTATTGTTACTGTCATCATTTACTCTGCAATAAACACAGAGCCGGCATTGTCCTGCAGTCTGCTTTTGCCTTGAATGCCATGACTATCTGTGTAAGGCTGCCAATGCTCCCTACAGCCGGAGCCTGGCACCAGTAGAAATAGGAACGCGTCTCCTGAGCCTGACATGGTTTCATACACAGACGTGGACAGTGGCCGGTAGTGATAATAATGTGGAATGTGGACACGGTCAGTAAAATTCTTGGTACAGTTTCATGGAACAAACTTGGGTTCCAACTCAGCACCTCCAATCTGTATGACCAAAGACAGGTAAATTAACCTTGCTAAGACTTCGGATTTTTCTTCAGCTAAATGAAAATATTGCATTATCTCAAGTTCATCCTCACAGGTGAAAGCACTAGCACAGTGCCCAGCTGAGAGCACCATCAATGTCATCCTCTTTCTTTCCCTCCTTTACCCTGGAACTTCCTAATGCTACGTGACTTCTGGCACACAGGGTGAGCTTAGCTGTGATAGTCAGAAAGTGGGCTAGGCGCTATATGAATAAGAACGTGAGAAAATGCAAACTGATATAAGGAGTGGCATTCTCTCATGAGCTAATAATGAACCAATTCTATTGAGATAATGGCACCCTTCATTTAAGAACATCAACTGCTGAGAAACGAAGCATTCTGTAAGGGACAAGCTGATGCACTGTGAATACAACCTGAGAAATTTAAAACTGTATGACCAAGTGTGATTCCTATGCTACTTTATTTTCACCAACTTTCAAATCTTTCATTCACTACCTTGTTGTGAGCTCATTTACCCTTGGGCATGTCTAAAACTTTCCATTTTGATATATAATTAGTTTTAATCCATTTCACAACCCCGGAAAAACAGGGAAGTTCAGGAGAAACAGGTAACAAAAAACAAATAGGGAACTGAAACACCATAAGCTTTGGAAAGTGCTGCTCTCCCCCCAGCAGCCCCCGAGGACGTTCACAAGGCTCACCCTACAGACACAGAGGTCACCTGCTCTAAGAGGATCAGAATGCTCAAAACTAAAATGTAAAACATTGCTAAGGAAACAGTAGAATGACAGGTGACACCTCCCCCTGAATGATGAACACTGTGCTGGCTCCTTTGGGACTAAACTGAGACAAAACAGTATAAAAGAAAGCAACCCCAGTACATACATAAATGTGACACACTGTCCAAACCATAGCAAAGATTCATACCTTGAAGATGTGAAAGGTGCAAAATACTTTGTGTGTGAGATACAGTTTAAAGGGATACTTCTGAATCCATTATAAATTTATTCTCCTCCCTCCCTTCCCCTCTCCCTCTCCCCACTGTCTCTCTTCCCCTCCCCCTCCATCCTACTTCATTCCCCAAGTTTATCCAACTCCCTCCTAACCCATTTTAGAGAAGGTAGGTTAGAAAGAACACTTTAAAATACTATTTTCAAAAAATTAAAAGACCCTGGAGAAAAGAGATGACTAGTCTATTCCATTGACCATTTCCCCCAAGTTCTCCCAAGAAGGGACACACTTTAAGAGGTGTTTGTCACAGGCGATACACAAGTACCAGGCCAGGAAGCTGGTGCTCAGAAGAGCCAGAGGACATTTGCAGTGATTATCTTGACCACAGTACAAACTCAAGCTGACAAATGGCATTCCTACCCAACCCCAGGTTATTCCTTAGAAATGTGCTTCAAAGCTGTGCTATTTAAAGCCTTAAAAATAAGAATATGGCCAGGCGTGGTAGCTCACGCCTGTAATCCAAGCACTTTGGAGGCCAAGGCGGGTGGATCACCCAAGGTCGAGAGTTCAAGACCAGCCTGACCAACATGGTGAAACCCCATCTTTAAAATAAAAAAATTTAAAAAAATAAGAATATACGAACACTTCATAGATATATGTCCACAGGCTTGGGACAAGAACACCCCTTTACCCACATGGATTTATAGGATTACGGAGTGAAACATTTTCACTCCCAATACCTCAACTTTTATGACCACCAGACAATTTTCTCTGGCTAGAACTATCCTTGAAGCTGTAAAAATTTTCCCCAAGCTGTATAACTTCAAACCTCAAATCAAACAAACAAAAAAAGCTTTTAAAAAATGTTCATTAGCTAAACACTAACTGGCCTGCCACTAAGGAAAAGAAGAACCTTCAAAAGTGACCTGGACAGACAGAATAGGACTGGCCAACCATGAGAATCCCAACACCACCTCCATTTTGACAACACATTACCCAGAAACTTCAGATGTTGGAAATCCAGGGCATCCAACTAGGATACAGAGTACTTACACAGTCAAAGCTTGGTAGGGGCTTGACTATAGACATCTATAGAGTGCCTAGTCAACCTTATCTACAGGTGTCTGTAGCACAGCCCCTGCCAACTCACCTGTCTTTAAATGAAAGCCAATTTCCATTTTAGCACCTCCTAACAGTTCCTTAGCTTACATGTCATGTAATCATTGATTTAGAAGCTGTCTGCTTAATGCTCGTCTTCCCTCTCTGCTCCTTGAGGTCAGGCAGAGGCCATGCCTTTCCTTGAATACAAGGGAACAGCAGCAGTGCCTAGTACTCAGCATGTACTCAATAATGTGCTGAATGAAGAAAGGCACCTTAAGGTATCACCACCTCTGGCCTTTTGCTGAGTCCCATTTTACAGACGAGACATTGAGACCCTAGGGTAAGCTATTTGTGTACTCAACCACAAGCTAGGACTTGGGAGCAGCACTGGGAAGCAGGAGAGGATCAGTCTCCTGTCTGAGTATTCTGCCTCTCTGACTACAGACACCTGTAGACAGGGCTGACTAGGCACTTTATAAAAGCAAAAGGGGAGGAGAAAGATCATTTCTACAAAGGTGGTATCCTAGTTAATATGTTCCACTGAACTTTTACCAGTTTCTTCAGTGTATTTTCTCCTTTTAATTTCATGCTTCTTCACCTGATAAGAATGTGTGTATGTACAACTGTTGAACACTGAATTCTTTACAAAAATGCAATCACAGCTGAAAAGCTGTTATTAAAACCCCATCATACTTTCCTGACACACCAACAGGGAGATGGAAGTGGCACACACATGCACGCACGCACACACACACCCCCCAACAAAACAAAAAAGACTACCTCCCTTCCCAGAGGCAGGTGCGGGGCCTGCACTGGTCCCCAAATTCAAAACAAAAGGAAGTAAAATTTAAAGATAAAAAGATAGAGGACTTACAGCAGAAGCAAACATTACATGGACACACAATCTCCATGACCCCCCCATTCCTTTGTGAGATCATCCTGCTAATCCTAGACATGTCTCTTCATTCCTTCTTTTTTGTTGTTGTTTTTAAGACAGGGTCTCGCTCTGTCACCCAGGCTGGAGTGAACTGACAAGATCTTGGCTCATTACAACTTCCACCTCCCAGGCTCAGGCAATTCTCCCACCTCAGCCTCCTGAGTAGCTGGGATTACAGGCCTACACCACCACACTCAGCTAATTTTTGTATTTTTTGTAGAGATGGGGTTTTGCCATGTTACTCAGGCTAGTCAGTCTCAAACTCCTGGGCTCAAGTAATCCACCCACCTCAGCCTCCCAAAGTGCTGGGATTATAGACGAGAGCCACCATACCCGGCTTCATTCCTTATTTCTAAAAGCAGTCGTCTTGTATTCCAAGGTCAGAGTCAAGAAACGGGAAATAGAAATTATGTGGACACATAAAAGCTCTTCAATAAATTCATCATCTGACAGAAAATCCTGCTTTCCCAAAGCAGAACAGTGGAAGCTGTTTTGTTTGGCTTTCTTGCTTTTAAAAGGCAAATACCAGAAGCATTTGTTACTCCCATATACATACAGAGGCACATACCCACACATACTTTTTTGAAAATGTGCAAATGGAAATCTATTTAGGGTGCTTCCTTGCTTAATCAGCTTCACTTGGTAAACTTTAAACTATTCTTCAGAAGCCAAAAAGCAAGGTACAGTATTTACAAACAGAGCCAGCCAACATTCTCTCAAAAAAAAAAAAAACTTTATGAAATACTAAAATACTCTGTTTTACACCAGAGACTTGGGTTGTGGCTACACCTCTGAATAACAGAATATAGAAAACACACTACAGTGTATACAATTGATACTGCACATCAATGTGCTACAGACGTTAAAAGTCATTCTGCTTATCTGAAGGAAAGAGCTCAACCCTTCACTTTGATGATGCTATTCATCAGGATTCCAGATCCTCAAGTACCCGAAGAGCATTTCTTCACTAGAAGCACCAGAAATGCCAAAAAGTGTAAGCAGTTTGCCTTCATAGTATTTCCATTTATTCTCAAAGGTTGCTGCAAAGATTAACCAAGCCTATTTCTTGTACCAAACCAGACACAGTATTAAAAGGATATGTGGGATCTGCTTTGTTTGCTAGTTAATTTGTTTTTCAGATAACGTTCCTAATCTCTATCTAAAGCTAAGATGGAAAAAAAAAAAACAACACTTGGAAGGAAAAAGAGATGAATAAGGCTATTGGGACACGACATCCAATCTTCTGTCCCCACTGAGCTGTTGTAGTTTGTGGCCACTTGCAGTGCAGACATTCTCTAATTAGAAAGTGGGAATATATATTCCTTTAAAAAAGTCTTTAATTACTCCACCCTTGAAAATTCCTAGCCCTGCTAGGGGGACCAGATACATCACTCTCCCCTTCTCAAACCTAAAAGAAATATACATCATTCTTGATCAAGAATACGGACACAAGGCTGAGTGAGCATGGTGGCTCATGCCT